AGGGAAGGGGGTAGGGGGAGGGGTCAAGCTACCCACCCGCCCGCAAGCCGTCTAGCTCACTCCCACCCGCCCTCCCAACACAAAAGTAACACCCGAGCCTGAGCATGTTCAGCGGTCGTCTTTGGATGGACAGCCACTGGGAACCTAAGTCGACCCCAGGTGCGCGACGCTTGCGCGAGGTGCGCCACGCGTGCCAGGGGTGCCACGCGCGCCAGACACCCCTGGGGCCCGAGCGTGCCAGGCATGCCTAGTGCTCCAGATGCGCCACGTGCTCCGAGTGTGCCAGGTGTGCCGCACACTCCAGCCGCGCCAGGTGCGCTCAGGTGCGCGTGCGCACGCGACAGCACACATCGGGAAGCATGTCAGCCCCCGCCATCCTTGTCGACAACCAATGCCCATCATTGTGCCTTGCGGGCCTGCGCACAGCAGGCCACGCGATCCAGATTTAGCAGCGAGGTGCATGTTATATTGTTTTTTGCCAGGGATGGTGGTATCCCTGCGCACAGCAGGGAATATGCTGACACCGCCGACGTCTCTGTCAAAAGAATACAAAATGCTCGCGGGCCTCACGAACATGACTCAAGACTTTGCCCCAACGTGTACTTTGCATTGTTTTTTGGCCGCATCGGGTTGGCCGCGCATGCTCCACATGTGGAGGCAGAGTGCGGCTTGTATCGTTTTTCGACGGGGATGGTTGGGGGCGGGCCCGCATGGAGTCGGCATGGTTCCGGGTTGGCCGCTGGCCGGGTGGGGGAGGGGGTGTATAGTAGTAAGGAACAGTGATGGACCCTTCCCCGAAGGGGAAGAGGGGCTTTTGGAAGAGGGGAGAAAGATAACGTTGGACCACCTACGCCCAGAGGGCTGGTGGGAATCTGGTTTTGCCTCTTGCGCCCTCTTGGGGGGTCCTCTGGTGGCCCGCTTTCTGCGTCTTGGACCGTCTTGAGGCTACCTTGGATGGTCTTCTGGCCTCTCTGGCGCTCTGGCCTATTGGAGCCCTTCTGCAGCCATCTTGAAAGCATCTTGGGATCTCGGCGGCCGCGGAGGGTGGATCTTTTGGCTTCGAGGGCCCCACGGGAGCGTTGATGAGCCCGCCCAACCCCCCTGATGCGATTTTGGACTCCAGGGTGGGGGGAACGGGGGATCATCGAGGCTCAAAGATACCCTACCCACAATAACCCAGTGAAGATGTGGCCTCGCTGAGGTCCCCATCTGTGCATGCGGGATGACACGTGTGGGCGGTTTGGTGCTGTGCGATTGCAGAGAACAAAAAGAACATTATCCCTACGTACTGTAGTCGGCCCTCCTCACTAAGGTCCCCTCCCAAAGGGTTAGGGCAAAGTCGGGCATGGCCCTCTACAGGAGGAACATTCCAACATAGTCAAATATAGTCCGGGATCGATCCCTCAATATGTTTGACCAGTTTTTGAATATTTGTTTGACTGAATCCGTCTGTAGTCAAGGGCGTAAACAATTGACCCTACCCTGGTTTATGAGGCGCTGTGCGCTGAACCTCCTGTGGGCTGTCTTGGTAAACCCTCCGTATCGCGCGTGCTCGCGCGGCGCCCTGGCGGCTCTCTGGCCTGTGGGAGCTCCCAAGGGGGTTTACTGACCACGCACTTGTAGCCCATGGCAGGTGCGACAGTGCCGTTTTTAATACATGCTCCGCGTGCGGATCATGTATTAAGAATGCAGGGTATAGCATCAAAAGCAGCGATGAGTTCATGCACAAGTTCATTCCTAACTTCATCACGTATACAAAAAATCATAAGTTTTTAGAAATCCTATGTTCTAGCCACTGCCCTGTGGGGGGACACGCCCGACCTCGGGCTAGGGGCGCCTCTTTGGGCTTGCCTCGGGGAGGGGCGACGGCCCGCTCCCTCGCGCGGGCCCCGCGCCCCCGCGGCGCGCGGGGGCCAGGCGGGGCCCGGCGGCGGGGCCCCGCGCGGCAGCCCGCGGGGAAGCCCGTGCCACGGCCTGGGGCGCGCGGCAGCGCGGGTCCGAGCCGCCGGGGCTCCCTCGAGCCAGCCTGACGTCGGGACCGTCCCCCCCCGACGTCGGGGGCGGAAGAGAGGGTGGTGATGACTCGGGGGGGGGGGGATAGCATGGCGTGGGTCATGCTGTGTCCCCAGATCTCGTGGCGCCTCTTCTTGCTTCACTGCGTCCCTGGCCCCCCCCCGCTGGGCCGCGCACGTGCCGCCGGTCATGATTTGCACCCCCCCCGTCTTGGACACCCCCCTCGTGGCCGCTCCCGAGAAGCCCGTGCCACAGCCTGCGGAGAAAAAAAGATACTCAACAAAATACCCCCAAACGGTAAAACATGCTAACAAAAATCGTCCCCTGATTATTTAAAACTATTTTTGAGTATGCCTCCTGTAGAGGGACAGGCCCGACTTAAGACTAATATGAAGTCGGGCCTGTCCGTCCACAGGAGGAATCTTCGAAAATAGCCAAGCAATAGTCTGGGGGCGATCTTTCGAGTGTTGTCGAGCATTTGTTGCATTTTTGGCATATTTGTTGGACCTTTTTTTCCCGTCGAAAATCCGCCTGTAGGAGGACATGCTCGACCAACTAATCTGCGTTGGGATCGGACCGGCGTGGACTACGCCTGCGCGTTGGTATTTCTGGATACTCGGAGAAGCAAAACAAACGCCAAGTTTTTTGGCAATCCGCGCGGATTTCTTGGATCTGCGCTGGAGCCCCCCCCCAGGGGCGCCTCCAGCGTCGCCCCAGGTGCGCGCGCCAGGAAGGGGGTCCGGCGCAGATCCAAGAAATCCGCGCGCACCGTCGAAAGTTTATGCTCATGCCGTTTTTGTTCCTCGAGGTTCCTTGCACTAATCTGCGTTGGGATCGGACCGGTGTGGACTACGCCTGCGCTGGTACTTCTTGTTTCTAAGCTTCCCACGTGGGGTCGGAGTAGATGGGCTCGGAGGATCGCGCCGCATCGCCGATGTATCGGCGATGCGATGTATCGGCGATGCGGCTCGATGTGGAGCCCGATTTGCTTCACGTCGACGTCGCCGATTCATTGCCCACGTCGACGATGCATCGCCAGTGCATCGCTGGTGCATCGCCAATACATCGCCGATACATCGCCGATGTATCGGCGTTGCGGCACGATCCTCCGACCGCATCCTTTCCGACCCCATCTAGGAGGCCTCTAGTTGGGATCGGACCGGCGTGGACAACGCCTCCGCTGGTACTTCTTGACATGGGCTGACGCCGAGGCTGAGGTACGCCGAGATTTGCTGAGTCGAGCGCCCTGGTCTGGGCTGGGATTCGTGTGGGCTCAGCTGGACTAAGCTGGGCTGGACGGAATCGGACGGAGCTGAGTTGGATAGGGCAAGGCTGGGATGTGCCAGTATGGGCAGTCCGTGCTGGCAACACGGCGCCCAGTGCTTAGAAGCTTAGAAGTCGAGTGAGGCACTTGGGCGCTGACGAGAGCTTCAGGCGTGCTTCAGTATGTTGTTTTTTTCTGTGGACGTTTAGCCAACGCTGCTTGGTCCGAACATGACGAATGAAAGGTATATGTGAAGGAGCGGGAGGATCAAGAGAGGCAGTGCTGTGTGCTAGGATCATGTAGCGGGGGAGGGAAAGCGGGAGGGAACTTTGCCCATAGCCACCATGGTATCTCACAGGTATTAGTTTTCATTCGTTCTGACAAACATCGCAGTGTTGACAAGTGTGGTTGAGCTCATACGCCTCGTGATGTTCAAATGTTATGTGGTGCAGGTGCGTTGGTTAGCGTATTTATTATGGGTTTGATGTGCGACGTTGTTCAGAATAAACATCTTCACTATCGGGTTGCGTTGCCGCGCATCTTCGCCATTGCGTTGGGCCCAGTGTTCGTTATGCGACCTGGAGGACAATACTTGAAACAACAAATGTGCCAGAAGTATTGGTAAACAAGCGGAGGAGGGGAGCAGGTGGTTTGAGGCAGGATCACGTTTAGCAGCTGCAGTGTGGCGGGAAGGAGAGGCGGGCGAGCAGGCGGCACGTCGGCATTGCCGATGGAGCGCCGCGGGCGTTGCCTTCGGCTGGGACGCTGCACGAAGGCCAGTCGACAGGCTCCTCCGACTCCGCAGACTTTCCTGATCCGCACGCTCCCAGCAGCTCCCCTGATCTTCACCACTTCTTTATCACGAGGTGGGCCAGCTGCCAATGCTCTCGAGCCCATCCCGGGGACCAGCTTGAGCGGCGCGACTCTTTCACGATGTCCTTGGGGGCCGAACTTGGCCTCCAGGGGGCCCAAGGCTTGCGATCCTGGCGTTGTAACTTCTACTTGGCGTTTTTGTCGCGTGTTCGCGAGCCCCAGGACCAACACCTATCAACCCTGTTCGAACATACTGCAGGCAGATGGGGTCTAGGATGAAGTCGGGCCATGTTTTTGAAGCATTTTTTGCTCATTTTGGAGTATGTGTTTGTATTCTTTCTTTTTCGCCCAGAATCCGCCTGTAGGGGGACAGGCCCGACCTAAGTCTAGGACTCGGGCCGCAATTTGTTCAGCGATGTCGCCATTGTCGTGGCGTCGGACCTCAGGGGACCTGGGGGGCAACGAAGGCCGCCGCCGTGCTCTTGCTCTGCTGGGCGACGCCCAGAGGTCCGGATCGGCGAGGTCCTCCACGATGGGCCCCAGCTTCGGCTGCCTGGACGACGGCGACGGACAGCGGACGACGGGCGACGACGGCCCACGACGGACGACGACGAACGACGACGAGGGTCTGGGTCGCCCCCACGGCGGCGTGCGCTGGTGCCCCTCGGCCCCTGTTTCCCGAGGGAGGGCGGGGGGAGAAGAGGACGAGGATCAGGAGGAGGAGGAGGAGGAGGAGGAGGAGGAGGAGGAGGAGGAGGAGGAGGAGGAGGGGGAGGAGGAGGAGGAGGAGGAGGAGGAGGAGGAGGAGGAGGAGGAGAAGGAGGAGGAGGAGGAGGAGACGCAGGTGGAGACGCAGGTGGAGGAGGAGTAGGGAGATGTGAGCAGGGAGGAGCCCGCCGCCAGCGCCCAGGCGAGCGCGGCGGCCGCGGACGCGGCGCCGCCAGCCGAGAACGACGCTGCGCCGCAGGAAAGTCCCCCGGCTCGGGAGCCTTGAGAGGGGGGTTAGCGCAAACGGGGGTCCTGAGACGGAGCCTTGAGACGGGGGGGCCAGAGCGGCGGATTTTGCAGGATCCTGCAACGCCAGTGGTGCACGGAACTGGGCTTGCGCGCAGGATCCTGCAGGACCTTGCAGCATCCCGCAGGATCCTGCAAGGCCCGACGGACCTGGGTTTGCACTGGCCCGGGCTTGCGCGTAGGATCCTGCAGGATCCCGCAGGATCCCGCAAGGCCCGACGGACCCGGGTCTGCGCTGACGCGGGTCAGTATGTCCCCGACCGGCTCGTGGCTCGGACCCAGATCTCCGATGATGTGGTATGTTCAATGCCCGCGCCCGCTTTCGCCCTGCTGTGCCCGATTCGGGCCCGCAGTATCCGTCGGCTGCCTTGAGCCGCGGCGTGGATCCGCTTCGCCGCTGCGACCAAGGGGTTTTTCGTTTTAGTTCCCGGCGTGTCTTTCCCTCTGGGCATGTCTCGGGGGCCCCCCAAACGGGGCGGTGACCACACCGTGCGGTGAGTCGGTGGGGATTCGGGGTCACCGCACGGTTCTGGGACTTGAGTCGTGCTCCGAGGACGTCTCGGGCGACAGGGGCCTCCGGGGTCCCAAGACCGTGCGGTGACGGAGCGTGCGGTGAGGTTTTGGGGGATTTCGAGGTCACCGCTCGGTCTGTCACCGCACCGTTTCGGGACTCCAAAACGTCTCTGGGCGCCGGGGCCGTCGGGCAGGGATCATCGGGACGGAGCGCTGCCCCCCCTCGGGAGACGGTCGGGACCTCTTGGCCGCGGTCTGAAGCAGCCCTTGACGCCTCGTGTATCTCCAACGGCCCATCCAGAGGCAGATCACCAGGCGAGTGGCCTTGATCGGGGCAGCGAAGAGGCGTGCAGTGTAACCGCGAGCCCCAGATAATAAATCATACCCTCCGTTCCCCCTGAGAGTTGATTATCCCCGGCCAAGAAAGAGTTGGTCGGGGGAGGGGCGGCAAGGCAGAACTTTGTTGACGTGAGGGAAAGTGGCGAATCGAAGTTGCGACCTTCTTATGCTGAGTAGCAGCATCATCAAAAACGTGTGGCATGGCAATGGAGTTCTCACCAGTTCGGATTTCGCAAGTCATGAACGTGCGCGAGGGCCATATGGTTCTCACCATTGCAGCTTTCCCAGGTCACAAACGTGTGGCAGGGCTATGGGATTCTCGCTTTCTCAGCCCTTCACGAGTCACGAACGTGTAACAGGGCTATGGGAGTCTCAGCTTTCCCGAGTCACGACGTCGTCGTTTTCGTGCGACGTCGACGACGACGACCTCCTCTGCCCTCGTCATACATCCCTCGTGCGACATGCGGGGACAAGTCGTTGTTTGCATCCCCCGGAGATCCCGACTTTTCTTCTACCCCAGGTGGTATTCTCAGGGGCATAGGCTTAACCAGCTGCCTTGGCAGCGTTTTCTCGGAGGTCTCGTGGAGCCCGCTTGGGCTCAAAGCTGCCCGGCCGGGGCAGCGGTCGGTGTCTTGTTTCAGGCAGCGGCGAAGCATCCTGGCCCGCCTATAGCCCTACCAAACACTGTTCTAATAACCTTTTGTGGCTTCCACGAAATGTTCTTAGAACATTTCTGGCGGATATTGCCTTGTTTTAACACATCGGGTTTATGTTCTAAGAACATTAGGTTTGTTCTAGAACATTTGTGGGTTCCAAGAACATTTCGTGGTAGGACTATAGAAATGCTGGGATGGTCGGTCCCTGCTCAATTGTGGCCGTGGACTGCAGAAGCCCGGTTTCTCGGCGAAGACCCTCGAGGAGCATTTTGGATCATCTTGCGAAGAAGACGACACGCACGAAGCCGGACAAGGCACATGGGAATGGACGTCCTAGCGATGGTGAGGAATCGGGCCGGACGAAAGGAGGGGATTGGGAAAGGGGGGCTTACGAAATCTGCTGCATGCAGCTGGTTTCGGCCCCACCGAGGGGCCCATCCCTCGATACATGGCCGCCTCTGGCGCCGGGAGGCGCCCGGAAAATCAGCTAAGTGTGAGCTGATTCTCACCCCCCCCTTCGCTGTCCCCCCTTTTCGCCCGGCCCGAAGGAAGGCGGTGGGGCTTCTCAGAAGTCCTCGCCGTATTCGAGAAGCTTGCTGTGCCTTCGGGGAAGGCTTCTAGGCAGCCGTTCGGAGATCCCGAGGCCTTCCGAGCCTCCTGAGGAGGCCCGCGACTTCCCGCTTCCCCCTAGGGCTCGCCGCCGACTCCACAGACCTCGTGAGGCCTCGAGCACGGCGGCTTGCGGATACCCTCTCCCTCGGCAAGTGCTACAGTGCTGTTGTGCCAGATGTTCTGGTCAGACGAGCCGCTCCCAAGGGGGGCACACCACCGGTATACGCCTTTCTTCGTGCCCTGGAGGCCTTCGAGGCCTCCTGATGGACTCGGGCGAGGCCTGGTGACTCCTGGGGCCCCAGGGGGCCCACGGGCACCTCGGGGGCCGACTCGCGCGACCTCGACTCGGCGGCGAAGCTGGCGCGGGCGCTCGAATCTGGGCGGGCGAAGGGGGAAGGTTGGTGGGGGGGGTACGATGAAGTTGGGCGTGTCCGTCTACAGGAGGAGTATGCAAAGATAGTCCAAAAATAGTGTGGGGACGATGTCTGAGAATTTTGTTGGCTATGTTTGAATATGCTGTTTAATATGTTTTGTTTGTCCTCCAAATCCGCCTGCAGGGGGACATGCCCGACCTCAGCCCGGGCGGGCGAAGCGGGAAGATTGGCAGGGGGGGTGCGAAAACCTGTACGTGCAGCTGGTTTCGGCTCCGCCGGCACCTCTGGCGCCGAGAGGCGCTGTAAGTCCAGTTGCGTGCAGCGGATCCGCTGACCTCCCCCCCCCTCTTGCTATGCCCGCTGCGGTGGCCCCGGTCCAGGGGCCCGCCTCGGGCTCCGAGGGCGCTCAGGTGGCAGCCCGCGTCGCCAGGGCCGTACGGAGAGAGCGGAGATCGTTCGAGACGGACGATCGGGCCAGACGAAAGGGGGGGATTGGAAAACGTGGGGTTACGAAATTTGCTGCATGCAGCTGGTTTCGGCCTCACCGAGGGGCCCATTCCTCAATACATAGCTCTCTCCGGCGCCGGGAGGCGCGGGGAAAATCAGCTACGTGAGCTGACTCTCAAACCCCCCCTTTGCTATCTCCCCCTTTCGCCTGGCCCGAGATGACGTCGCGCGGTGTCCATGCCCAGCCGAAGTCGGGCCCCAGTCCCAGGAGCCAGCCAGACATGCCTTCTCGGATCTGCCGGTGTGGGAGCCTCTTGGCGGCTTGCTTGGGCGCCTCTTGGGGCCCTCCTTGGACCATGTTAGAGGCCTGTGGGGTTTTCTGAGGGGCCTGGGGCCCTGTGTAGAGGCCCTCGTGGGCTCTGTTGGCGCGCTTTTGGGTGCCTTGGGGGCGCTCTTAGGGCCATCTCGGGTGGGGTAACTAATTACGCACCCTTCCGTTGGAGGCCATAAAAATGGTTCCTGGGTGTTCGTGCGGCTCTTGGGGTCCCCTTGGGCCCCTCTTGGGGCTCCCGTGGAGCCATCTTGGAGCCATCTTGAGGCCTCAAGAGCCCATCGGAAGCGACGAGGCCTCGCGGGAGTGTGCCCCTGTGGCCACTTGAAGCCGTCTTGGGGTGGTCTTGAAGACACTTCAGGGGCAATCTTGGAGGCCGTCTTGTGCTCTCTGGGGCCATCTCCGATCGGTCCGGGGCCATCCGGGACCCTCCAGCGACGCGCGGAGGGAGGCTGCCAGACCCAGGGAGAGGGGGGAGAGGTTAGCCTCTCCCCGAAGGGGAACAAGGAGATTGGAAGACGTAACTCGTCAGATCACATATGCCCAAGGGGCTGGTGGGATATCGCCTGAGACTTCCTCGTCGGTCAAATCCCGAGAACTTGACACGCCCATCAGCTGAATGAGTGGATGGCGGTTCCTCAGCAGTAAAATGCGTTATCTTTTGCTTGCACACGCTCTCGTGGATCTCATGCGTCCCCCTGTCAAACGACAATCGTTTTTCCACACTGCCCACTCGCCTCCTGCGGATGCACTTCCTCATCTAGCGCGGAAGTGCGGACAGTTGTTTTTTTCACTCGCACCTGTCTGTCCGCTAGGATAGCGCTTCTGAGGGGGAAGCGGACTTTGCTTCCCTCCTCTCTTTCTCGCTCGCTCTCTCTATCTCTCTCTCTTCATCTCTCTCTCTCTCTCTCTCCATCGCTCTCTCTCTCTCTCTCTCTCTCCATCGCTCTCTCTCTCTCTCTCTATTTTTCTCCCTCTCTCTCTGTTTCTCTCTCTCTCTCTCTTTCTCTCTTTTCTCGCTCTCTCTCTCTCTCGCTCCCTCTCTCTCTCTCTCTGGCACTCAGGGAGATACAGGCAAGACGCTGAAATCATGACCACCTGGGGCTCTGGAGGGGCGATGGTTGTCGGGCTCTTGCTTGGGTCTTGGTCGTGGAGTCTATTCGTGGCCAGGCCGCGCCGTGGCCAGAAAGGCCCGTTCGTTTGTTTCACTCCGCGTCCCTCACGGCAGCGCGACGCCCGCCCGAGTTCGAACGTTTCTGTAGATCCCTCGCGGCAGCAGTCATGGAGGCAGTTCGCAACGCAGACGGCAGCAACAGCTACGACGCGATCCGTCGAGCAGGCGCCCTGTGGAGAAGCGCGGCGTCCGAGGGCGCTGGCAGCAGCAGCGGGCCTGGATTGGCCCAGGGTGAGGCCGCTCCGTGAACCGCGAGCCTGATGAGGCTGTTTTCCACCACCACCATAAGCTGGAGGGGGGAAGGAGGAGGAGGACGAGGATGAGGACGAAGAGGAGGAGGAGGAGGAGGACGAGGATGAGGACGAAGAGGAGGAGGAGGAAGAGGAGGAGGAGGAGGACCCCTGCCCCTCCAACTTGTGGTGGTGGTGGTGGTGGGTGTGGTGGTGGTGGTGGTGGTGGTGGTGGTGGTGGTGGTGGTGGTGGTGGTGGGAGTGGTGGTGGATAACAAGCC